AAATTTTCCCAAAATCATACAAGTAGACCTCAGGTTTCCATCCAGAACACAAATTGTAAAACTTTATTTATTTGACGAGATAATAAATAATATCTTCATTCCATTTCGTTGAACGATGCGCCATGATGAATACTTGTTGGTTTTTGCCAGGACTAGTTGGAAGACTGACTTTTATTTTGTTTGAAAGTAGGCGATGATGTGAATCATAGGTCGGTCTCATCAGAAGGCGAGGACATATTCCTCTTTATCGGCTTTCTGATCCTCCTTGAGACAGCCTCCTGTAATTTCGATAAAATACGACTCCGTCCTCATTCATAAGGTGTAAGTTTGGAGAGCATCAGAAAGTCTTGAATGAGCTTTTTCCTCACTACGTCGCATAAAGTGATAGAAGACTAATAGGTGAATTCTCCCACAATCCTACAAGTAGAACTCAGGTTTTCATTGAGTGCTACTTAGTCTTACTTTCTATAAGGCATATTCATCAACTCCCAAACGGAAATCGAACTTGGATAGTTCTGTATGGTATTTCGACACGCTCTTATTCTACTCTTATTCTACCAACAATCAGCAATTTAGATGACATAGTTGTAACTTGAAATTTTAAAATGTATGAAAATTAAGTCAAAAATTGACTTTTCTCTTTGACGAATTGTAATATGGTGCTACGAATGACGAGACTCACGGAAGATGCCGACCACGATACCTAGAAATGTCTGGGAACGTACCACGTCCACGGTCCGACTCTGTAAATGATGATGCAAACAATGGACTCCGGACAAGATGCGTTCATCTAAGTCTTCCTACCAATATAACCGAGTTGCGAAAAAAGGTCAAACAACTACTATACAATGAAAAGAGTCTGCGACCACACAAAAGGCTACACCATCTTGGTCTTCATACCTTCGATTAAACTATGCAAATTAAGTTCAACAATTGCACATTTTGTACAAGATACTTCATATGTAGAGCTGGTGAACGATGTGAATTTAGTTGATTTTAGACAATCTAAAAGTTGTATCTGACTTGATCAGAACTTTGTGGCCCTAACTACACCCAATGGCGCAACGGGGCAGCCGAGGGCGACACGTCACTTATGTACATTTACTGCCTTTACCTTTAAGGGAACTTCTAAGATGGTATCCATGACTAAGTCTTTTGTCTGAAAAGTCATGGTTACTTGTAGGACCTGACTAACGACCAACTACTCTTCCGCTCAGTGT